GCAGCAGCCCCTGCGGCGCGGGCGCTAGAGATGATGCCGTTTCCGACGGCCGCCCCGGGAGCGCCTCCGCCGGCCGCGCCGCCGCAGAAGCACTGGGGCATCTCCTCCCCGATCAGCCTGGCCGCCCCCAAGGACACGGACCGCGAGCTCACCCGGAGGCTGGTGGAGACCCTGAAGCCCTTCGGGGTGTTCGAAGAGGAAGAGGAACTGCAGCGCAGGATTCTAATTTTGGAAAAATTAAATAATCTGGTGAAGGCCTGGATCCGGGAGATCAGCGAGAGCCGCAGCCTCCCGCAGGCCGTGGTGGACAGTGTCGGGGGGAAGATCTTCACCTTCGGCTCCTGCAGGCTGGGCGTCCACACGAAGGGGGCAGACATCGACGCGCTCTGCGTCGCCCCCAGACACGTGGACAGAAGCGACTTCTTCACCTCCTTCTACGATAAATTGAAGCTGCAGGAAGAAGTGAAAGACTTGAGGGCGGTTGAGGAGGCGTTTGTGCCAGTTATCAAGCTGTGCTTTGACGGGATAGAAATCGATATTTTGTTTGCAAGATTAGCACTACAAACCATTCCAGAGGATTTGGACCTAAGAGATGACAGTTTGCTTAAAAACTTAGATATTAGATGCATACGAAGCCTTAACGGTTGCAGGGTAACTGATGAAATTTTACATCTAGTACCAAACATCGACAACTTCCGGTTAACCCTGAGAGCTATTAAATTGTGGGCCAAATGCCACAATATTTATTCCAACATACTAGGTTTCCTCGGAGGGGTTTCCTGGGCCATGCTAGTAGCCAGAACTTGTCAGCTTTATCCAAATGCAGTAGCATCCACGCTTGTACGTAAATTTTTCTTGGTATTTTCCGAGTGGGAATGGCCAAATCCGGTGTTACTCAAAGAGCCTGAAGAGCGGAATCTTAACTTGCCTGTATGGGACCCAAGAGTGAATCCCAGCGACCGGTACCATCTTATGCCCATAATCACGCCAGCGTACCCACAGCAGAACTCCACGTACAACGTATCGGTTTCAACCAGGATGGTTATGATTGAGGAATTTAAGCAAGGGCTAGCTATCACACATGAAATTTTGCTGAATAAAGCCGACTGGTCCAAGCTTTTTGAAGCCCCAAGCTTCTTTCAAAAGTACAAGCATTACATTGTACTTCTGGCAAGTGCGCCAACAGAAAAACAGCATCTGGAGTGGGTGGGCTTGGTGGAATCAAAGATTCGAATCCTGGTTGGGAACTTGGAAAAGAACGAGTTTATCACGCTGGCACATGTGAATCCCCAGTCCTTTCCAGCACCCAAAGAAAATGCCGACAAGGAAGAATTCCGTACCATGTGGGTGATTGGGCTAGTGTTAAAAAAGCCAGAAGACTCTGACATTCTCAATATCGATCTCACTTACGATATTCAGTCTTTCACAGATACAGTTTATAGGCAAGCGATGAATAGTAAGATGTTTGAGATGGATATGAAAATTGCCGCCATGCATTTAAGAAGGAAGGAACTTCATCAGCTGCTTCCTAATCATGTTCTTCAGGAAAAGAAAGCACATTTAACAGAAGGCGTGAGATTGACAACTGTAAATGACAGCAGCCTCCACATGTCTGTAGACAGTGAAAACAACATAACTGTACCTTTACCCACTAGCACTGTGAAGGCTGGCCCACTGAGCAGCTCTCAGGGCAGAAACAGTCCTGCCCTAGCTGTCATGGCAGCATCTTTGAGTACCATACAGGCTCCCGAGGTTTCCCTGCAACACGTGAGCCCCAGTGAAAGCTCAGGTGTTGCACTGAGTGAAAACATTCCTCAAGCCCCCTCGCAGCCTACCATTTCTGCGCCACCAAAGCCCACAGTGACCAGAGTGGTTTCTTCAACACATATGGTAAACCACCCACCAATACCTTCAGGAAACACAGCTACAAACATATCTAATCCTATAGTAGGAGTCTAGAGGACGTTCTCATGTAAAGAAGGGACCAAGAAAATCAAAACAGTGGAACAACCAGTTAAGTTCAGCTCAGCAAGTGTTCCAACAGCAGCCTCTCTGTTGGCCTCTCAGGAAATACCCAGCACAGATATATCCAGTACCCCTGGTCTCCCTGCAGATCCAGTCCTGTTCTATCAAGAAATCAATAAAAGATTGGACGAATAAAAACCACCACAAGGGCCCATAAACTGCTACCAGCTCAGCCCATTGTCTTCAAGTACTGAAGGAGGAGGATGAGGGTAACCAGACTAGATAGGACTCAAAATAGCTTTATGCTCATTTGGTAACTTCCTTTACTGGCCTAATTTTGATCAGAAGTCCAGATTAGTTGGTGAAATTCTCGAAGTACTATTTATTAACGCTTCAGATTATTAACGTGTCAGCAACAGTTATATTAGCTCTGTCAAAGGACTACTTATAAAAAAAGAAAAATCCCTCCAGCTATATTTGTAACCCTGATTACATCAGGACTGGATTTATGTTTGATGCATTGTTGGGAAAAAATTTGCAATACAAACTAGTATCAGAATTCCTTATATTAATGATGCACTTTATGGTTTTTTTTTTTAAGTTAGGAACTAGAACTAATTTTGGATTTTTTTTTCAACTTGGTGAATTTTAATTTCATTTTATTTTTTTCTCCTGAGTAGGTTTCTTCACTCTTAATCTTAAGCAGATGCCATTGTGTGGCAGCATAATATACTCACAAAGAACAAAAGTACACACAGCTCAATCCCTGTGAATTAGCAGCAGCCCTTTCAAACGAAATGTCCACTGCTAAGGTAGAGTTTTGTCTTCAGAACAGTAGTTACTAAGTCTTTGGTTCTGATGGGACGTGATCAAGAAGTGATGGTGTTATCTATAGAATGTTTCAGAGAGTGTATAATCAGCGATCAGACATTCGTTTTCTTTGAGCTAACAAAGCTCCATATTCTCTCATCCTCAATCATTTGTCATAAAACTTTTTTGCCTTCACCCTTTTTTTCTTTGCTGCACAATGCTATATGTTGTTTCTTTAAAACCCAGACCAGTTGTGTTTTCCAAGCCAAGATGTGAAACCAGCAGGCTTGTGTCCTTAGGGCCCATAGCTGAAGCTCATTGCTGATTTGGATGTCGTCTGATCTCTATGTTCCAGACATTTTGTTCACCACATTACCCTGCTATGTAAGAAAGCTTTTGCCCAATCACACACATGCAGGCAACAGAGGCCTTTTTTTTGGGGGGGGGGCAGAATTTTAAATCAATTCTTATTTCTTCATGACTTACCCACAGTCACTATCAGTAAACTTGAGAGGAAACATTTACAGAACTTGACATCTAATCAGCTTTTTACTATTTCTGTTTTATCCTGCCAAAGATTAGGAATACTCCCAAGAAAGAAAAGGAAAAGGAAAAGATAATGGAGTAGCAGCCCATCCATGTCTAGGAACTGAGGGATAGCAGATGCAGATGACTGACCACTTGCTTTCAATGTGGACCCAGCATCTGTCCCACATAGCCTGGTTCTGTCTTCCCAGCTGCCTTCCTTTCTGTCACACATACATTTTTCTTAAAGCTAACACTGCAACTATTTAAACTCTCTTTTTGCCCTTCCAGATTAACTTTTCAAAGTTGGCCTCTAGTCCTCTTCCTATTAGGCTATGCAGTACTTGAGACTTTGCCATGTCTAGTGGACCACATTTCTCTTTCTCGAATCTTTGCCCTGTGTGGCCACCCTGCCCTTCTACCACACGAGGGAGGAATCAGGTGAAGGGTGCCTGGTGTCTGCATTCTGAGTAGCTGCCATTGGCTGCCTCACACCGCTGGCCACAGATCTAGTCTTGTCCTTTTAGTTTATTAACTACTTCATGTAACTGTACCTGTTTTTTACCAAGCTGGAAACTTGGGATTTTTAACTCTAGTTTTTCTTACCTGAATATCTGACTTATTTTTTTTTTCATGTGATGTACGTTGTGTCTCATGACTAGAGTTTGTTTGTTATATAGTATCTGTACTCCTTGTATTTTCAAGCACTATTTTGAAAACAGATAATGTATTTCTCCATTACAAACATAATAAAAATAAATGGCAAACAAACAAAGTGAAACTAAAATCCTGGCCAGTAATGTTTAGATCTGATGCTATGAATTTAGGTGGTGCTATGAATTCAGGTGGTTTAGTGTGTTGTTCTGCGAGAGGGGCAAGGGCATTGATGAATATCAGTGATATTGGGCCAAAGATGCATAGAAAAAAGTTAAGAGAAACACAGAAAGTTAACGTTTCAACGCAACATTGACTTGTAAAAGGGAGTTAAAACTCAAAAAAGGAAACCAGGAAGCCTGCTCTGTGGTGGATGGCTATACCGAGATCACTGGATCTCAGGAGTTCAAGGCCAGCCTAAGGCCACATCTCAAAGAAAAGAAAAAGAGATGAAAAAGTGAGGAATCAGAACAAGGTAAAGGGAGAAGAGCCTGGGGTAATACCAGGGAGACCCTGTACACCACCACTCTTGGGTGGAGCATACAGAGTGACACGCCATTAGCCATGCAAAAGTAAGTCCAGCTGTGCACTGTTTTTTTTTTTTTTTTTCATTTTGGGTGGTATTGGGGTTTGAGCTCAGGACACTTGGCACTTGCTAGGCAAGCGTTCTACCGCCTGAGCCATGTCTCCAGTTCTTTTTGCTTTATATTGTTCAGGTGAGGTCTCACTTTTTCTGTCCAGACCTGCTTAGAATGAGATCCTCCTGCCCTGTGCCTCATGAATAAGCCAGGATTATAAACATGAGCCACTGCACACGGTGCATGCTCTTTTAGTTTCAAGAGATCTGTCCAAAATGTAATGATGTGAAAATGGAAAGATGATACGCTAATGGAAAAAAGCAGGTTCAGTGGCTGTTCAGACAAGTTACATAGCAAAAGAGTTACTTGAGACAAGGGGGCAGCTGGTGTTAATGAGAGAAAAAACAAGGCACCAGGAAAATGGAGCAAGTTGGTAAATTTCACTGTGCCAGACACATTGGCTTTGATTTTTTAAAAGTGAAGAATAACAGGGATTTTCAAATGTGTGCTTTTCAAATGTGTGCTTATCACAGAAAAAAAATTTTTGGGTCGTGGGGCCTGAACTCTGGGCCTGGGCACTGTCCCTCAGCTCTTCAGCTCAAGGCTAGCACTCTACCACTTGAGCCACAGCGCCACTTCCAGCATTTTTCTTTTTGCTTATGTGGTGCTGAGGAATCGAACCCAGGGCCTCAAGCATGCAAGGCAAGTGCTCTACCACTGAGCCACCTTCCCAGCCCTCACAGAAAATTTAAAAAGCAGCTCTTTGTAACTTGTTATGGAACAGACCAAAAGAAGGGAACCATGTTTAACACAGTCTAGTGCAGTAGCTGGTGAACTTTTTCTGTAAAGGGCCAGTTGCTAAATACGTTCAGCCACAAGGGTCTCTGTCATAACCATTCAACTATCTTATAGTGGAAGCAGACAGATGACACGTTGGCAGATGGCCAGGACCTATTCCTGGCCAAATTGTTTGCCTTCAATAATTTTGTGGGCATTTATTATAGAACCCTTCACCCAACAATTGGAAAGTGTTTCTCAAGAATCGGGCAGGGTCAGGTGTAGTGGCTCATACTTGTAGTCTCAGATACTCAGAAACTAGGAGGATCTCAGTTTGAGGCCAGCCTTGGATTAATCAATAAACAAGGTGAAGTGACTCATGTCTCTAATCTCAGGCATAAGTAGGAAGATGGAGCCGGGTGCCGGTGGCTTATGCCTGTAATCCTAGCTACTCAGGAGGCTGACATCTGAGGATCGTGGTTCAAAGCCAGCCTGGGCAGGAAAATCCGTGAGACTCTTATCTCCAATAAACCACTAGAAAACCGCAAGTGGTGCTGTGGCTCAAGCAGTAGTGCAGTCACCTTGAGCTGCAGAGCGCAGGAACAGCGCTCAAGCCCAGAGATCAAGCCCCAGGACTGACCAAAAAAAAAAAGGAAGATGGAGGTCTGAGGCTGGCCTCAGGCAGAAACACTAGACATCTAGACATTAGCAGAAAAATACAAAAACAAGGTCTACAAGCATGAGTCAAGTGATAGACCCTGTGCCTAGCAAGCATGGGACTCTGAGTTCAAACCCCAGTACCACCAAAAAAAAAAAAGTATAGAATGGGCATCATAAAAATTAACCATGGTAGACTGGAAAGCAATACTCAATATATTTCAGGGTCTGATGTATAGAGCATATTCTCTGTTTATAGTATTGTAAATTATGAATCAATAAGCCAGGTATGGTGGGCCATACCTGTAATTGTAGCACTTGGGAGGCCGAGGTAGGAAAATCTAGAATTTGAGCCAGCTGTAGTGAGACATTGTTTCAAAGATAAATGACTAAGCCCATGCCAGGCTTATGCCTCTAATGCTAGATACTCAGGAAGCTGAGATCTGAGGATTGTGCATGCGAGCCATCCAGGGCAAGACAAGTCTGTGAGATTCTTATCTCCAATGAAGTGCCAAAAAAAGTGGGAAGTGGAGCTATGGCTCAAGTGGCAGAGTGCTAGCCTTGAGCACAAAAGCTCAGGGACAGCGCCCAGGCCCTGAGTTTAAGCCCTAAGACTAGCACCAAAAAAAAAGTTTGTATGTATGTGTGTGTGTGAGTGTATATGTGTATGTATAAATTAATGAACAAATAAGTCAGTAACAAATAGTGTAAGAATTTCCTAAGGGAGACTCAGGAAAGCTGAGAGATTGATATGACTGAGATTTTTTTTTTTTTTGCCAGTCATGGTGCCTGAACTCTGGGTCTGGGCACTGTCCCTCAGCTCTTCAGCTCAAGGCTAGTGCTCTACCACTTGAGCCACAGCACCACTTCCAGCTTTTTCTTTTTGCTTATGTGGTGCTGAGGAATCGAACCCAGGGCCTCATGCATGCAAGGCAAGCGCTCTACCACTGAGCCACCTTCCAGCCCCCAAAATCATTTTCTG